GGCCTATGAGGAAGGGATTTTTAGTCGAAGTGGAAAGGGAGAAAAAGAAGAGAGAGGGAAGGAGGGAGGGAGGGAGGGAGGGAGAGAGGGAAAGAGACAAAGAGATTATAAAGTCAAGGTTTAAATGTGCCCGACATTAAAAATAAAGTGGCGGATTACAGCATGCAAGAATTATTAGCAAAACACTGGAGTAAGAGACAATTCCATACACTGACAAGCCTGGACCATGCAAGGGGATGGGGAGGGCCGGGAGGGGAGCCTGCAAAAATCGGTGGAGCCAGTTCTGCTCCACACGATGCCAAGTGACAGAGGGAAAATATGCCAGCCTCGTTACTTCTGTGGGACAGGCAGTGGGACCCAGTGAGAATTACTGTCCTCCTCTGGGCGATTGTAATGACCCAGAGTCCCCCCAAAGCACCCCAGGGCATGAAAGAGCCAGAGCCAGAGACTCTGTGGACATCTCAGCTCAGTAGGACTGGAATCAAACCACACACGGTCTCCCAGAGCATGTAAATCCTTACATCTGCTAGTTCAGGCCTTACACTGGAAATACAGAAATCCTGAACTGCTCTAAAACACACTGAGAGCAATCTCTGCACTGAGATATTTTTCCTTCATGTGCTCTGCTATCCAGGACTGGCAAGGAAAAAATAGGGAGAAAAGAAGGAGAACCAAGTTTTTCTAGGGAAATTTACCCAGAAGGAAATGTTTAGACATCTGCATAACAAAGTGAACTTGGGAAAGGAAAGTTACACATACAACTCATATGTTAAGCAGAAAAAATAAGGAAAAACAGAGAAAAGCTGACTAACGGAAGGATCAATGGGAAAGCAACAGGCAATATTTTAGTCTGCTCGCAGGGATGTGCTCAAGTTGTTTCTCAAAAACTGTAAGCCTACTTTAGTCTTAAAACAATAATTGCATTACTCAAATTTATAAACATCCTCCTAATACCAAGTGTTTTTGGCTACAAGCCAAGTTGTGAATTTTACATTGCAGAGCCTAGAAACATGCATTAGAAGTACACCACCACCATGGCAACTGACCACACTGGGTACCTATACCTTATTAGTAGGTACTTTGCAATAAGTTAGCCCAATTATGCTCATCTGCACGGGAAGAGCACATTTACATATTGCTTTGTTCTAAACAGAGGCGCACAGAGTCTGTATGTGCAGAACTCCACCAAAAGGATTAGAGTCAGAAGCAATAAACAGTGATTTTAAAACAAAACGGGGTGTGCCTCTATCTGTCACATTAGGTTTGGAAGGCAAGAATATTAACAGGTCTGGAACTAAATCAAGGTGTTCAAATTACAAAACAGAAATCTTGATGTCTTGCAAGCGTTAGTCTGTAAATTACCATTCTCCCAATCACCCAAAGTTAATGAATTTTCAATTAGCACCACCTGACCTTAATTGTGCCCTGTATAAGGCACCATGGGTGTGCTGCCCTTAGTTGTGCTGAGCTTCACTTTTGACACCTGAGACAGCAAAAGGCAACAGGAAAAATAAAGGCGGCATAAAAGAGACAGAGGGAGATGAAGGCATAACAGAATAGCTATAGCTGTCCCTGAGTGGCAAGACCTTGGGGAATCTTGAATTTGTCCATTAAAGCAGACACAGTGAGCATGCATTTGGGTATTTGTTGTAGCATACCATTTGAAATAATGTGTTCAAAATCTAACAAGCAAAATGAGTCTTAATGAGCTCTTCACTGCCCAGCTGGGAACAAATGAATAAAATATTATTTGGGCAAAGAGCAGGCTTTCAAAATATGAAGTAGATGCATTATCTGTATTTTGGGAAAAGATTTTCTTAATCTTCTTAATATTTGAAAGAGGGAGGTGTTTTCCTTACACCCATTGAAGACAGTCATCTTCACAGCGAACAAAACACTCAGGTTAGAGAAAAGACTATTATGCATCCCAGGAGGGGGAGCCCCTCCCATCTCCACAGAATCAAATTAAATTTCAACCTCCAGAAACATTCCGTGATACTTTGTTTACAGAAAAACCCTCAGAGAGCTTCATTTGTCCTTTTTTTTTGTCCTTATAATTACATGATGTCCTTCTGTGTATCTTGAGAAATTATGTATCACATACTAGCAATTCCTATTTGTAACATGAGTCTTCATGGCTATCTGGAATTCTAAAAAAATGCTATTCTAAATAAATGCATAAAAGATCTCTTTTTATAGCAACTGTGCCTTTTAATTTTTTTGTTTGTTTTGTTTTTTAGATATTTTTTCCTAAGAAAACAAACTTTTGCAATTGAACTGTTTGCCATCTCTTTTCCCATGCTTTTGGACTGGTTAGCAAATTTAAGTCAAATATGACAGATCTCTAGAAATCTTTGTATATTTTCGACTTCAAGAAATTGTTGCAAACTGGTAAATAAGAGAAAAGTGGGCAGAACTCACCCATTATTAATTTGTTGAGGCACCAGTACAGCACCCTGGCTGGAAAGAGCACCAATGTCATCTCCCTGCGGAGACACAGCATGCTCTCTTCTGCCCTGCTTGCCCAGGGGAATGAGCCAAGGCTGACAAGGTGGGAGAGAGCTGTTGCACAAGGGGAAGGGACAAACAGGGAAGTTCTCCACTAAGCAGCAACCTGCCCACGTGAACTTCTTAAGCCAAGAAAGCACTGTAACAAAGCTGCCTCTGAGGTAACTGGAGACTAATGTGACTAAAGCACATGGCAGTATCACTGTTAACACCTTCTCATGTAAATTACAGTTCTTCAACACAGTTGTTTCCTTTCTTGCAACACAGTTAACATTTTCCAATGCCAGTCTGATTTCCTAGTTATTCAAGTTCCCCAGGCCAGATTTACACTGTAGTTTCACTGAAAGTAAATTTTTCACCAATTCATTCAATGTTTTAACACAGCTTCTGTAAATTTACACAGTTCATTTCATTTGGGTTCTTTGGAAATTTTAGGGCAATCCATTTACCTGAGTTAAGTATGATGTGAAGAAATATACCTTTTCTTGGATTTGCAGAAAGGAATTCAAATGGATGAAATCTTGATACATGGATGGCCCTCAACAGGAAGCATTCTGAATATTTAATTTTTAATATGGTTTTAATCAGGTAGCATAAAAATTCTTGGGTTTAATTAGATGAGCAATTTCCAGCAGTACTACAGACTTGATGAAAAACAACAGTAACCCCAAGGCAGTCAACTTTAATCTTTTGCTTAAAAATCTCAGTGAGTGTACGTAGCAGCAGTATTTACACTGAACCCAAGACTTGAGGAAACAGTAACATAATCATTCTCACAGCAGCACTCTTACATCTCTGTTGGACACCTGCTAGCAAATGGCCCATCTTGTGCATCTCACTCCTGCAGAAATGATGCACCTTATACCCACACAGAAGCCATCTGCTTATGGACATGCACCACGTGTTGCACTCATGCAGTAGAAAAATCTGGACCACAATTTAGCAAGCTACATTCCTTGACTGAGTACTACATTGCTATTAGAATCAAACAAATTCCAAGCCAGCAGGCACTGCAGAAAAGTTATGAATCCCAAAGGATGCAGCCGTGTCAGCTTTCACATATGCTTTCTCATTTGAAAAGATGATGTGTTATCTTTAGTTATTTATCTGAAACACCAGTCCAGGTGTATTGACCTGTGGTTTTAATTTTACAAGGCTTGCTTCTTTAGTTTGAACCTGAGGTCTGGGGAAGATTCAGAACTGACAGAAGTACTGACAGCTTCTCATAGTGCACTTCCACATGTAGCTGCTACAGTTAATGACATCAAGACTGTTCAGGGACCTGGAGATTCCTTCATACCTGGCAACAAACCAGCTTCAGCAGAATTTCTGCTGTGCATGGAAATCTTCCCCAGGATCTACAACAGTTTACCACAGAAAGAACAGAAAACTAACCAAACCACAGCAGACCTAAGGCCCAGCCTCCATTGGTTAAAGTCTTTTGTAACTCTCTACCAGCAACAGGAGATACCACATCTGCCTTAATCCACAACAGCTGACAACATCAGTACTTTTGTTTTGACTATATCTGAGGTTACTGGTTCCATTTCCACCTAATATAACAGAAAACTTTTGAGTATAAGCTATTGAAGTACTTCAAAATATATATACCTGATTTCAGGCCCCAGTTATTCACATCTTTACAAAGGAAAGATGTGGCTACTTAACTGGAGAAAAATCTTATGAAATAATTTCATTCAACTTGTTAACAGCTTATCTTTTTATTTTGTCTTCATTCAACATTAGTAAAAAAGACTCTGTGAGAGGGGCTATATAATGTCTTCAAAGAACAAAAAGCTTCTATGCACACAAATGAAAGAAAGAACAGAAAGTTGCAGGGCTGAATAACCTGAAGTGAATCCTAAAAACAATTATATAGCAGTGTAAATCAACCACATAAAACAGAGAAGAAATGCCACTCATGACAGAGGTGGAAGAGGTACAATGCCCTGTCTCATACATTTTGTTGGGCGTTGGTTCTCAAATTAAAGTCTTCTTGTTACCTTGCTGGATTCCTCCAGTTGGGTGCCTCGTTTCCAGGCCTCAGAGAACATGGAGCTGACAATGCTTTGGGAACGGACATGTCCAGCTGTCTGGGTGTCAGAAACTCCACTGTCAGACTGATTAGAATGATTTGACTGAGATTCTGTTCAGAAAAAAAAGTTAAGGAAGTGTTAGCATATGTTTCTGAATGTAAGAGTAATGTCAGTATGCTTATAACGTAACTCTGTGTGACTTGTCAAACTTTTCCCCAGAGGACACTGCTCCCAGTGCATAAGCACTAGCTCACATCCAGGCCATTACCATCTGGAAAATAAAACAGTGCAATAGATGCCTGGTATTAACCAAACCTGAGGCTGCACAAGGATGAGGGCATGTCAGATACGTTTCAAAGTAAAATCACACTGCATCTGTTACATGCAACAGGAAACCAGCCCCAGTTCTGCTGAGAGATACACAGGAGCACATTAATGCAGATATGCACAATTTGACATGGGAACCAAAACAGCATTTCAAAGTTTTCTCTAGAGATTGTTTGGATCTTTGCCTTTGGGCAGGGGCTATTTATCATTTTCCAATTTGAAATATGTCAGTTAACAAAGCAGTTTAAGAACTACATATATATGTTCTATGCATAATTACAATATAAACTTTATTTTTCAAATAGGTGAACATAGAGGCATCAGGAATTTGAAATGAGGTTTCCTCCTCTCAGTACAAGAAAAATATTGGGTTTTGGAGGTGAACAAGAAAGTGCCACATATTTCAAATACATACATCACTGCAAGTAATATAGCAAAATAGGGTTCAACCTGTATATGTGTGTGTGTGTGTATATGTATATATATATGAATGTTATAGATAAAGTCTATGTTTTAGACAGAACATAGCATGAAAGACTTTGGAGAAAGAGTCCATTTCCTGCAATAGTCTCTCTCTCTTGGCATCCAGACAGCAGATGATAAAGGCAATTGAATCTTTGTATTATGAGATAGATAACATTGGTACCTGGCAAACTAGATGAGCTGGAGCCTGACTTGATACTGGAGCTAGACAAGGAGGTCCAGTCATATGCTGATTCTGTTCTCTTCAATGCTTCCTGATAGTTCATGTATAGTTGCTTCCCGTACTAAGCAAAATGACAAACAAGTTTAACAACTCCATATAGGCTGTACACTCTTTTCAGACTGTTGAGCTCCACCTCCAGCTTCTCTACTACATCCTTCCTCCTGCCAGTCCCCCCAAAGCAATACAAGCTCTATGATAAGGAGTTCAGGCAATATTAATAGTATTAGTGAACTGATGAAAGAAAAACAATTCATTTATGCTAGAACAGACAGTGTTAAGCAAGAAATGGCCCAATGAATAAAGTAAGACAAGCTGAGGATCTTGGAAATCAACTCTATTTTCTAAATTCTCTTTTTTCATAAGCCTTCTGTTTTAAAATCTGAAAGGAGCTGGCTAAAATCTATTCAAGATGTATGTCAGAACTGTCATGTGAAAAGAGTGCAGCAGAAACAAGAAGAAAAGGCTCCATTACTGAATTATTATAATGAAGTCTGATAATTTTGCCAAGGAATGAAAAATATAAGAAGATTTTACAGTTCATGTTCAGAATAGTTAAACAGAGGGAAGTTAGATTTACCGTGTACTTTGCTAAGTAGCTGTAAATGGTTTTAAGCAGGTGATGACAACTACTCATGACGACAGCTTGAGACTGTCTGGGGGTTACCTTAGCAATGCGGATGCCATTGATCCACTGGTGTAGAGTTCTTACATCATCACAGCAAAGATATTTGATATACTGGGACTTCTTCTGGATCTGAGGATGCTGCAAAAGAAATTGTATGTTCTCATCAAAGTTTTCATAGCTAGGAATGCAAGGAAAGCGTTTATTTGTTGAGGTCTATACAGATAAACCTAATGCTGGAAGCTCTTCAACAGTAATCTGTATTTAAGCCCATTTAAAAATGTTCCAGAATATTTCAGGAGGTGAATTTCATTAGGGATTGCTTCACATACACACTTGGCAGTGTGTCCTGCATGTACTGATTTTAAGTTTGAAACACCAAGAAAGGGCAAGTCTTTTACTATTTTAGGGCTGTAGTACTTTCTATTCACCAAGAGTCTTCTGTACCTATGGACTAACTCACCACTTGACAGAGACAACTGGTAATTCACCTTTCTCTCATACAAAACAAACACACTGGTCTTCTCTGCCTTTGCAGGCTTTAGTGAGACACTCCCCAAATGACATGCTGTTAAGCACAATTCCATTTTCAGCTTGTAGAGCTTTCAAAGTTTCCACCCTAGTGACACAGGGCTATCATCTGAAGATACTTGATGCTCTCACATGCATGCATAAAAAATGTAAAGGCACTGTATTTATCAATTCAGCAGTCAAGAAACAAAGGCATGCTTTTCAAAAACCAGACATTAGAAATCATTCTGGGTTCAGCTGTTTCCTGTCCATGCTGTAGAAGCTACAGGTCTCTCAGCTGCTGGGGTAAGTGGATACTCCAGTTCTAATCATTTCATCTGTTAGCTTACAGCTCAGTGACACAATGGAGTTTTGCTAGGGGATTGTAGGTATTTAAGCTTTACTGAAGACTGTCTGAAATATATCAAGAAACTTCTAAGTTTTTCACAATGTTTTATCCTGTTGCCTTCCAACACAATTATTTTAAAATGAACATAATATGTTTATGTCCATAAACAAAATATTTATAACAAATTTTTTCATGACAGTAGATAGTTGTTTTCATTTTTCACTACCAGCCTCCTTCACACACATGTTGTATAATAGAGAAGAGTCTACAGAAGCAAATACAATTACTTTGCTAACAAGCCAGCTTCTTCCTGGACTTGTTCAAAAATTTGGCTATATAGAAATGAAAGAACTCAGAAATCTGACATTTAGGATCAAGGAATTAACTTTATATACTAGCACACAAACGTTACATTTATCAATAGCACAGCAACTTTAGCACACTAAGTTTTGATATAAACTAAGGAGTGAAGATAAAGACAAATCCAGTCTGGACATCAGTAGAGAATTGAATCTTGTTAGTATTTGCCATTCACCTGTCCCAGAGGAGATACTACCTTCCTTAGTGAAGCACAAAACTCTATTTCTATTTTACAAACTGTGTGGTTTCTATACTTTTGTACTAATTGAAAACATTGATGTAACATTATAAGAACTGATGAAGGCAGAACTGAATCCTGCTTGATACAACAATTTGGTGATTCATCAGTTCCACAGAGAAAGTTCAGCTTTACTTGGTGTAAATCTACCCCATTAATTGACTTAGGGACCATTTCTAAACATTTTGTCTTCATTAACATTACTATTAAATTTTATGTTCAGAATGGCAATAATTTTTTTTAAAAAATCTACTTTGTGTGGTCAAAAAGGCTGAAAAAATAATTTAATATTAATCTGTTCAAATGATATAGACAAAAGTGACATGTAAGTAGAAAATAATTTATATTTATAGAATTTATATATACCTACGAATACTGACATTTTTGTCTGCATTCAATGATCTATAAGAACATGAAAAGTACTTCCATTTTCAGCTGTGTACTTTCTCCAGCAATATCATGTTTTATATTTAATACTCAGTATCTCCAAGAAATGTTGCCCTGTCCAAGGGAAAATGAAGTCCTCTTTCAGGTAGTGGACTGGCAGCCACACACTCCAGGCACAGTAAATGGTCTAATGACATGTACAACACCACACGAGCTCCAGAGCAGGGAGGGGAAAAGTGCAACTATAACCATCTCTTGTTACTGGCACCATTTCAAATCCATGAAGACACGTTACTTGCTGTGAACACAGTGTGAAAGTCTGTTTTAAAATAGCTTGGTACCCAGCTATCTTGCAGGAACTGACACCATTCTGAACACTATGTGGGAGTCAACAGAAACTAGGAGATGTGTTGATGCAATTAAAATAACTTGATGTACTCAAGTTATTAGATCTGTTTAAGATCAGGTCACTGGTTTTATAACTGTTTTTGTTACTTGTTCTTTCTACCTGTGCTTTATACTCAGAAGATACCTCCTTTACAGCAGCCCTTTTCCCTCAAGTTGGTCCATAAATGGTATACTTGAATCTTTAACATGAATTTCTGCACTACTCTGGACCTACACTGAGAAGATAACTCTCTGGAATTAGCATTTCAAGGGGTATTATCTCTTTGAACCTAAACAGCTGTAAGTTATAGAGCTGCCAAATGGAAAAGACCTTAGTGTATATTTTAGAGTATAATGAACAATTAAATAGACTAGCACACATCAGTCTGGAAATAAAACAATTCAGGGTAATCTGAAAATGTTCATGAAGTCACAACCAGCACAGAGAACAGGCAACAACTGTTCGCTAACCATTCACATTGTATACAGGAACTAGAGGAAAATGAAATGAAAAGCAGCTGATGGTTCAGATTCAGAACAAGGGTATATTCAAGGTATAGCCAACTGCTGCAGCATTACCTTTAGCACTAAACAATAGTCTGTGGGTGCCTTGTACTTGTTCCGATAGTCCTGTCCATAGTAAACACTGACATGGTCTAGCTGTAGAAAGCACACAAGATCCCGTGAGACCTAGTAAAGACAAAAACAGTCATTTACAAAGGAGCTTTATAAAAATCCACACACATTGACACTATCAGTCTAATCCTAAGATCCAATGCTAATATAAGGTCTAGTTAAGGTCAAATATTAGTTTCAATCTGATTCAAAAACTACCGAGACAAGAAGGAGATACAGCTATGCATAAACTTTCATCACGCCTTCATTTTTAACTCAATTCAGTCTGGGTTTTGTGTTTTGTCTGCATTTTGCCTTTTGACAATGTTTTACACTGGACTGCTAATGTTTACTCAGAGCAGGTATCAGGAGAAAGTAAGTATGATTGGTTGATCTGGAAGTTATCAGCTGCTGGTTACATTTCACCTTGGTAATAATCAAGGTGTCCAAATTCCATTGTGACTGTAAGCAGAATTCTAAAGATGCTTGGCAATGAGCGTAGGGAAAAGAATTTCAACAGGCTACTTGCATGCAGATTGTTTTAATGAAGCAAAAGATTATGGAAAGAATATCTGACATGCATTCAGCTCTAAAGGGAGCTTTTGTGCTGATAGAGATTTCCTCTTTGATTCCAGATGTGTGGGAGGTGGACTTCCTGTACTGGGAATCATCTAACGCTGTCAAGACTGATGGATTCATGAATGACTTGAACTCACAGTAGTTCAGCCTTGAAGGTGTATAATGTATCTGTAATGGCTTTCTACTTATTTTACATTACGGATACAGAGAACAGCAGTAAGTGATCCTGAAGAAATGGAATTACATTTACCAGTTTCAAAAAATGTAGCACCAATTGGTTCAAAAAGAATCCCATTTATATGAACTAACTAAACGTAATGAAATTATACAGACTGATTGTGGAGTTGGTCTGATACTTCATGATCAACATTCACAGAGCAACTTGGTCCTCTGTCTGAATTCTACTTGAGCAAAGACCAGCTTCTTAGCTCCACCCAAAGCTTTTCCTCAAGTATTTCTGAACACCTAACTCTTAATCTAACTCAAGAAGCAGACCCCTGTATTCTTGTATTTTTAAACTGGGGTTACACCCTTCACATCAAGTGCTGCCACAAAAATTCACCCATATTTCCATGATAAAACCAGCCTTTTAATTAAGGGATATGGCACTTGGAAAGGCACAGCTAAGCCAAAGCTTAAAGCCAACTCTTGTGTGCACTGTTTAAAAGCAATAAACAATTCAGAGCAATTGCTTTAAGTAGCATACCTTTGCCTTCCCTTTAGGGACATAGTAGATTCCAGAAGCCCGAAGAAGGAAGTAACGTTTCTTCCAAGATTTCTTACCATCCTCTTTTAGCCACAAAACTCCCTCAATCTCTGGCACAGTTACAGAACTTCCACAGAAGCATTCCTGCCAATAAACACAGCAGTTTGGGAAACAGACAGAACAGAGAGCATGCAGTGGTTTGTTTTGAATGACTGAAATTCTTTATCCAAGGAATGCACTTTGCATTCAAAGAGGGACAGCTCTTTTTTCACATAAGATATGAACTGCAGATTAATCATAGAAGTAATAAGGTCATTCAGACAAACATGATAGGGTGTCTGAGCATTTGCTCCGTGCAGCAATGACAAAAAAGTCATTAGCAGCTACTGCAAAGATTTTCTAACTACTGCTTCTCAGTAATAGATCGCCCGATGGCTTTAGTGGCTTTAAGGTCACAAGGTCACCTTATATAGCCTCATATGCGCAATCACGCACAAACCTAACTGTGCATTCATCAGACACTGCTGCAATTCATTCCAGGAGTTCTTTGCTGCTACTAACTGCTCACAACACTGCAACTTCTCCTAAGCTTCTATTTATAAAGAACTAGCAGATAAAACCAAATGCTTTAAATACACTCCAGATTAATATGCAGCACAGAGACTTACAAATAATCCTAGAAGAGAAAAATAATTATACAGAATTCTCTGCATGTTGTGGCTTCAAACAATTTTTTCATCCAGAGTATACATACAAACACCCGCTTATTAAAACCCATATTAACAATATACTAGTAACATGCATATGCTACTTATAAGTTAAACTGTTTTAAGTTTAATCCAAAATGAAATACCCTAAATATTTACCTTTGGGTAACTATGTAAATCATAATCATCCTGGAAATCAAGTGGAACCTATGGCACTTCAGTCATGTCACAAACATATTTAGTTTTCAGCTTATGAAGGCTATAATTTACTGTTTGCTTTATTTGCTCCATACTTTTATGCTCTTATTTTTGTAAACTGGTTAATGTGCTTGGTAATAATTAGTTTTCTGTCATGCATTTATTAAAATTCAATATTTGGGTTTTTTTAATTTAAAAATGTAATTGAAAAAAAAATTTTACTACTTTGTTTATTATCAAAATTTGAAATATTAACTTAGATCAGTTTCCAGACCCATGCTCTAGAATTTTGTAGAAATAAAAATTTATAAAGTGCTAGTAAAAATTCTCTACCACCACAGATGAAAAAAATAGGTGACAGTTCTGCAAATTTCAACTTAAAATTAATGGTTTTAGCCATAGCTACAGGCAACCTCAATTTAATTATCACTGTGTATGGCATTTTAAATACTAAATGAAGTACAGAAACTTTTTTTAACTGATCACATCAGAAACAGTGTTAAATTAAAACAGCCATTTATCTCAAACACACTCCATTCACAATCTTCCAGAAATATATTCAGCTCTGTAGTTCTGTAACAGAAGAAAGTTTAATATTTCTATAGGCATTCTGAAATCAAGCCAAATGACATTTCTTGTTTATTTGTCTGTAGCAGTAAGAACAGAACTTTGTAGACCAATTGAAACTGTCAGACTGCCAAACAATACATTGAAGTAATTTATAATCACCTTTACCAGAAATATCAATCAGCCTAAGCTCTTACCTAACAGCCTCATAACAACATCATCCTGCTGTTCCACAGATCAAACAGCTCTCTGTTACAATGCTCCAGAAATAAAAATACTATGAACTTGTAAATACCACAATAAAAATAAAAAAACCCCACCAGATATCTGTTACATACTGTCATTATTTCTGTGTTCAAAAAAGCACACATAGAAGCAATGTACTTCTTTCCACCTTGGTCTGAGTTTTGCTGAAGAAAAATATTTATTTTCACAAAGAATTACTAAATAAAATACTTGACTTCTTAAAAGGAACTTAATTATGCACAGGCACAATTTCTTATTAAGTAAGTTATTACTCTTACTCAATTTAGAAAAGACAATGAAAAACATCTTTCTAACCCCTAGCTCTAATACTGGAAAAAATCCAAATATTCACAAAGTTTTGCAAGTTCAACATTTTAAAGCAAGGAGAAATATTTGGTTTATGCTGGTACCTCACTCCGGTGACAGTGCCTGCTATATGTACTGATAGTAAACTTATAATCTACAAACTTTCAAAAAGAATGTAGAGTTTCAGTGCTTCAGTGCAAAGCACTTGCATAAGACCTGGTTTTTAGATCTTAAAAATAAATAAAATCAAGTAAACTGATGTCCCATAGGATGAACATGCAAAACTGATACCAAGTATAAAACAAATAAATTAGAAATAGATACCATTCAGATATAAAAATATTCTATCAGCTCACAAGGAAATAAATTAAATATGAGTTAAGACAGAGATCAATTGAATTTTCAATGCAAATTCTTCAAAGAGAAAAAAGCCTTCTGCTTTTCTGTTTCTTTTCCTCCACTCCCCTACAATACTGAAGTGCTGCCAGATACCAGGCCTGTAGTTACCATTTGAGAGAGGAAAGGTCTTTGAGACCACTTGAGAGGAAAAAGGGCTCTTAGTTTCCTAGCCAAGGAGCAGGAGACACAGGTGAAAATAGGCAGGTCACAACTTCCACAGGAACGGACACACACTCTTCACTTGCCATCTGACCATGGAGTAGCTATTCTCCTAGATTTTGTGTTCCCCTTCTTGCCAGCACAGTGCACAGTGGAGAGACATTACTATTAGCAATATCTGTCAACACCTTTCTTGCATATTTACATAATTGAGCAGCACTAAGTATGGGTGTAAATCCCTGGAAACTGCCTGGCTTCATGTGCATTAAAATTATTCACAGACACATTAGCAAACAGATTGCTTCAGCTCATGGTTGTCTCTTAGGGATTGACTTTGTGCCAACAGCACTACGAATGTATGTAGTCAAGTAAAGTTGCCTGGCATTTTAACACATACACAAGTACCAAAATGAAAGTATGGAAATGAATGCTACCAAAAAAGCAAGGAACTGCAATCAGCCAACACACACACTCAGCACAAATCTCAGGCTTACCTGTGGATTCTTGAAAAGTGCGTATTTCTCTATACGTTCCACAAACATTAGTTTGTTTTGACTATCTCTTGTCCAGTTCAGGAGATTTTCAACTAAATTTTCATGATCTTCAAAAATTCTTTCTGCAGCAATAACAAGTGAGCAAATACATTGGAATCTGTTGCATTTTGTGATAGAAACTAATCCATAGTAATTTACAAGAGACAAGGCATATATGCAGAGAAAACAGTGTTCAAGATGTACTACAACAGGAAAGAAGTTTATGCTAAGAGACTAAAAGAACCTAGTCCACTTCCAGACATGCCTGGTTTAATTTTTTTACATCCAGTGACTCAAATGGACTTCCCTTATCTTCAAGCTTACAGTTCCATCCACAGATTAAATGTTTTTATTTTTTTTTATCTGAGAAGGCCTACCATCCCACAGGAACCCTGCAGACTCAAACGATAACATTTCAAAGTTTATGAGCACAAATAAGAAGGTTATCACATTTATGTGTTTTCTGGTCTACATAATGCCCGGAAGAGTGGATTGGGCAGGATTTTCGGCACAAAACCCGTTTCTACATCCCAAATAACTGTCTCACTCAAAGTATCAAAAAGTACTGGGCAATGAACAGAAGGAAAACAAAATGCTTCTGAAATACAGAATACCCATGGCTAGTAGTGGTATTGTAAAGAAGTCTGAAAACTGATACTGTCTACTTCCTATAATCTCTGTTGCCCAATAAATGATGTATCAACAACAGCTTCTGAGAGTTTTGGTTCTCAGTCAAAGCCCTGAGCTATGACTCTCCATTGAAAAAGTTACCATTAGTGCTCTAATACTAGCACTTCAGAATACTGAAAATAGGCAAAAGAGAACACAGTAAAGAGAAAAATTTACTGAAATGCTAGAAAATAGCTGAAAATCCTCATTGCAAAGTAAATAAGAAGAAATCTTTGGGAAACCACTAGACCAACTTCCTCATCCTTTCAAACACACTGAAGTAGAATCCAGCTGTTTACAATTTGTTCCTTCTTCATACAGGTTACACAGTGGCATTTCAGGAAATTAATTTTTTCAGAATCCTCTGGGACCTGCTTGACCTTTCAATTGCACCTGGAAGTAGAACACGATTTTTTCCCACAAAATCAATTCCTCCACATTCTTACAGTGTATATATGGCTGATCACAACCTAGGAGCTATTGCTAATGAAGACTCAGATGACAGATGACATCTCAACATGTTAATGTGAATGCAACAAAATGTCATCTGCAGTGAGTATCAGATGGCAACACATTACTTCAGTCTCTGAGTTCTGTCTAAGAAGCTTCTGAGTTACAATTCATTACTTCCATCAAGCTCTAAAACAACACAGCAACAGTTGTCTTCCAATAAAGTACAAAAGTCATTACCTAACAGAAGAATAAAACAAAAAAGCTTCAGATGACTATGATACAAAAGTTTACATCTCACTACACTTTATTAGTGAAACTGGATAGCTTTCAAACTGTATCAACTCTCATGACAAGAACACAGTTTATTAAACTTAAAAGTTTCTGAGCCTTCTAAGATATCAATTTTCACGTGATAGGTAGAAGATTTAAAGAATACCCTGTCAGGCCACAACAACCATTTGGCATGCTACACTACCTAAAATAGACAAGGTTTCACCAAAAGACAGAGGAAACAATGACTTTCATTGTAGTTTGAAATCAAGGTATTTGGCTTCAGTTCTGTGTTTTTCTTTAATCAAAGTCAATGGATAAGATGCACCTTACCATTCCCCTTATTTTCCATTTTGATGCTATATCCTTTGGCTAAATAAGCAATGTGGTATGTGCAATGATGTACGAAGCAGCTTTAACTACTTTTAGAGGAATACTGCTAATTGCATTAAAATATTTAACAGAGAAAAAATGTAGATAGCTTTATGCAATATGAGTTATCAGGTTCAATTCAAAATACTATTTCCAAAGAGGAAGAAGCACAATAAGTTTTTTATCCCTTACTTCTTTCTTCTGTTCAAGAGGCTCAGTGACCACACATTAGTAAGACTTCTATATTACACCACAGAATTTAGCCATGCTTTCAATATAAAAGAAGAAATAATTTTCAGATCATTCTGAAACAAGGTCAGTCATGAGCTTTATTACATGAATTAGCATTTACGACATTAATGAACAGGATAATGAACATTATGAAGACAAGTATTTAAATAATTCTGAGGATGTAGGCTACTGCTGCATCAATTAATATTAGAAATACTTTAATTATTACTTACCCATTTGCAATTCAGAGATGGTTTCCACCAATGACCAGTCTAAACTGTAGCCACAATGTGATTTGTCCATCAGATTGTCTAATACTTGTCTCACTGTTTGCCTCTCATCCACCATCATTGTTTTTGAGCTGTCATCAGACATATGGACTCTGATCACTAACTGTTAAGCAGAAAATTAAGAAAACAAAAAGAAGGATTAATCTACCACACTTAAAATAAAAATGTTTCTAAGATCTTGTTTATTCTTCTAAGGTTTTCTTACAGTAGCATAAAATTCAATCAAAACACTCCCTCAAAATGTAGGAAGTCAGAAATGATGGCTGGATATTTGTATCATGGACACTTAACAAGATACTGTTCTTCTTCATCATAAGAAAGTAAATATAAAGGTCTTTCCAACAGAATGAGAAAGTCCTTCAGTTGTGTGTTAAGAAGGAAGAAAAATCCTTCCTGCTGAAGTGTCCTGTTCTGATAATAAAGTGTCTTTCAGACACTATCCAACCTCTAGGTGGAGCAAACAGATATATATAGAGCTCTGCACAAGCTTACAAAGAATCAGAATTTTTCAGATGTGAAAGTTTAAGCTTTCTGCCTGCTTCCTACAGTATTTTCTAATATTAAACCTTACTTTTCTGGGAAATATGAAACAGTAGTGTGAAAAAATCTGCTTTTAAAACACAGTGGCTTTTCATAGGCATTTTAAAGAGGTCACTGTCCAGAAACAAAAATCCAGCCTTTTTTTTTTAACCAATAAAAATACTTAAGACAACAGATTTTGGGGGTTTTTTTGCTAATCATTATTATTTCCATTTTTACATCTTGTTCAGCTGGAAAACATAAAACCTACTAGCTCTAATGCACTGGTTGACTCATTAATTCCCATCTTCTAGCCAAGACAGTTTTTTGGCTTTTGATCTACAAACAGTTAATGCAAAAGGCATTTTAAGCTACTGAAAAACTCCAGTCATAAAATAAAAACACTAAATTTTAAGGGCACTCTATATTCTTTGAGAGAACATCAAGTAGTGGCAGTAGACTTTCTCCATTTGGTAATCACTGTCTTTAGCCTGGAATACTTCTCTTCCACTTAGCACTGGCAAATCCTGCTATGCATAATGGGAAAAGGCTTGTGAAGAAAAGGCTGTGAAGAAAACAGGCAGAAATTTTAAACAAGCGACTGAAGAATATACTAGAACAATCTCAGGAGGCTGGACCTTCATTTCAGTTCTGGGTGGAAGTTGGTAAAATCTTCCCAATGAGCACTAGCTGAAAAACAAGTTATTCCTTTAGAAAAACATAATGTTATTGATTTTCCTGATTAGGTTCAATCTAGATGGGAAAGCACATTACCACTGAAGATTAGAACTCTACAGTGCTCCTATTTTATAAAGCGCAACTTAAGAATAATAGACACAAATGAAGTTTGCCTGCATTTTCCAAGTGGAAAAAAAATAATAAAGGATCTAATAAATTGGTATAACTAACTTACCTTTTTCACTTGTGCTTCTTTAATCTTCTCTAATGCAACCCTAATCTTCTCAGCTTTCAGTTTAGCAGCCTGTTCCTCCTAGGGGGACACAACACACAATTCCAGTTAACACAAACTTCAGTCAGGTTTCAGTGGGTTTATGTTTGAGGCTACCACACTTTAAAACATGAACTGAAATGCTGATTTGCTCACTTATAAATCTCCAACTATTTCTTAGTGATGATGAAAACTATTACTTTTTAAGACAAAGTGTTTCTAATTTAGAGATACCACTGCCATTAATGCCAAAGGAACATACTGGAGGTATATATTCTGTTTAGACATTTGGCATTTCTCTGTTCTCCTGTACTGTAAATAGCCTTATGCTACCAAATATTTTACCACATTATATATTTACAGTCATAGGTTGGGACAATACATATTCAACAAGAGTATACAAAGGAATACACCAAATAAGTTTTGGTTGATCAACACAAAACACAGCTAGCATGGAAAGAAGTATCTGAACTTAACAGCACACAGAAATGATAAAAAAATTCCCATAATTAGGATTCCATACTACATGCATTAGTTTGAAAGATTTTAAAATGTTAAATCCATCTGGAGCAAGAGATTTGAAAACTCCCTTTGTCTTTACTAAATCCAAGCTGTATTTCTCCTTGGTTTAAAAATAGCAAATAAGCATTATTTTCCTCTTCTACATAATCTACATAATCTATTTTTATTACAATTGGAAATGCATTAAAAATTCAGGTAGCTTAAATCTATTTGCTGATGCTAAAGAAAACTGTCTTTTTAAGACTAGTAATAAAGATTTTTGAATTCTAGAGATTATAGACATTTCTGTTGAAATTGCACTTGAAACATGCGCTAAAAAAGCAACCGCTGTTTTGAAAATGACAGATGCAATTTTCAGACTTCCACAATCCTAAACTGTAGATCTTCATTGTGATTAATATCAAAAACCATCATAAGTACTTTAAAACCTCTAGCACCAAGAAGTCTATTAAAACCCACACAAATCCCTTCCAAAATAGTCAGTATCCTTAAGAAAGAATAATTAATGTTTTTCCCAGAGCCAAAGCATCACATCCCATCACGACATTCAGCATGCTATAAGCATCTAGTTCTCTATTGCTTTCTTCTATGAATGTAAGTCAGTTTCTTTACCACATGTTTAGATGGCTGTTTTTCTGGTAAAAAGAAAGATTCAGCTATTCTGAAATCCACAGAGTTTAATGTTTTCACTTCTCAATAAATTACTAATATTCATACCAGCTGCTAAAGAACATTCCCTTGTTATTTATTCCACTCTTAGTAGCTTTGGTCCTTCACATCTGTGACCATCCTGTGCACCAGAAAAAAACATCAGCTAGACAGAACAGCATACTACCTTATGAGAAACATAATTCTTTTCAATAAAATGAACTAGTAAGTTGACACGAGCAGAAATAATGTGAGCCTGAAACCTCATCTGGGCACTGACTTACCCAGGAACATTGTTTTTATTAGTCTACAGGGAACCACAGCTTTTTTTTCACAATAGCAATGGTGTCCTATAGCTTAGGAAGGTTACAACAGATTAGCATTCTAAGAAAAACAAACCATGCCATGATAACAGAATCTTTTATTCTTCCTATTCCTTAACATTAACCATTTCAATGTGTAGAAATAAATTGTTAGTAAAAAATGAGGCTTCACAGCACCAAGCCTGACAGAGCACAAGAAGCATTTGGACAACTCTCAGGCACATGGGGTGACTCTTGGGGATGTCCTGTGCAGGGCCAGCAGTTGGACTCAGTGACCCTTGTGGGTCCCTTCCAACTGAGCTTGTTCAGTGATTCCGTGAAAGACTTCTCAGTTCCTAAAAGTGATGCCATGCACCTGTTCATCATGAAATCAGCAAAAGCAAAATACTCATTTTATCATATATTTGGAGAAGCTGTAATTCACAGTTTTGAAAAGCTGCTTATTAACCAAATCAGCACAATTTTCCAGCCCATTTCACTGTACACCAGTGCAAAGCACCAGGAGCACCTGCCTGCCACAGTGCACAGGCAGCAACACCAGGGCCAGCAACAAGCAGCTGTGGTCTATCATATACCTGTGCCAATACAGCTAAAATACATTTGGTGACCTCAAAGTTTATAATCCATCATTCCCTAAAATGTTTTTGAAAATAGATAAATATGTAGACCAAAGAAGATTTTAAAGACTTACTATTTTAATGTGTATCAATTACTTTTCATCTCCTACTGAATTTAATGTGGGTCCAGAGATTAGGATTCCTGATACTTTATTAGAGTTCAACAAAATCAGTTTAAATTAAAAACAAAACAAAACAGAATTGCAATTATCAAAATAAGAACTGGTTTCAACCAGTGAAAAATCGAAAAAAGAGGTCTGCATTTCCTAACTGGAAAACACAGCGAGGAAAAGAAAGCAAGAATTTGAAATTTCTGTAAGCCTATACTAGTCAAAGATTTTGAGCAATTTTGGGCAGTAATAAACTAAGCTCAGGCCACTGCTGCATCACTGCTGAAGTGGCAAATGATGTTTCACAGGAGAAGGAGGAAGAACTATTATTCCTTAATCAAATAATTTAACAACTCCCCAAAACTCACAACATATATTCTGTTTCTCTCCTAATGGCCCAAGAAAACAGTCCCCTGCACATCAAAGCCATCCAAGAACAGCATTTAGATACAACCACAGGCTCTCTCTTCCCCCCGTACATGAAAGCAGCACAGCTTCTATCCAGGAGGAAGCACATGCAGTCCATCAGCTTGTACTAATAAGCTAACAGCTCTTTTCACTGCAAAGGGAGACAGCTGACAGATGGCAAAAATACCTGACTGCAAATGTAAACTATTTACTGCCACCAGCTAACAGGGCCAGCACATCCAGTCCAACCACATCTAACTTCAGTATTTATTTCCCCTTTGCTAGCAAATACTGGCAGCAGTGCTAGGAGTTTCTAAAGGGTTAAAAAGATACCGGTGAATAGCAGGACTGCTGTGCTGTCACAGCTTCACAGGCAGCACAGACAATGTCAGTCCCTGCCATGGGACCTGTCCCCTGCACAGCATTACTGCTCCCACAGCTCTCACAGCCCTGCTGGGGCACACACACAGCTCCACCACAGACTGATCTGGAGAACTGACATAGCAGGCAAGATTCAGCAGAACCCGTTCCCTGGTTAGACTGCCTTTATAGGCACAGGCAAGCCTTGGAAACACACCAAGGAGATACATACTCACACACACTTTATAAAATCACAAAACATAATGAAGAGTCATTTACACCTCTGTCAGGAAAGCATATTCTTTTATAATAGCAACATGCATCACCATCAAATTGCCACAAATTCCTCACTTAACAGGACTATTCTGGGACAATTGTTACACCTGCATTTTAAAGTTTTGACCTAAGATTACATTTGGTTATGGAAAACATTGCACCTGATTCAAAGAATACTGAAAAGGTCTCAGATATTATAATGTTACTACACTTGGATAGTGCCATATTTTTCCTTTGTTCTACTTTGTTCACCATTCACAAACTTTTTGCTATTAGAAGACTAACTCAAACACAGAAGATGGCTTCTGAATCGAAATTGGAAAGCAGTAGCTACATTTTAAATGTATCTCGAAGTCACACTGGCTTTCGAAGTCACAATTTCCCACAGAAAGGGATCTTCTTCCCTGCAGTCTGTAAGGGCACAGAAGGCCCCATATCACTAAGGAAGATGCTGAAAAGTCCTGCATCTGGTATTGACCTCTCAGGTGCACCACTGGTTAATGGCTCCAGGCAGACTTGTGCCCTTTTGAAGTTATGCTTCAAGGTACGGCAGAACACAACCTTAATCAGCAGAGATGTGCATTATGCTGTCTGCCTGAAAGGCTACTCAGGCTAGATTTGACAAATCTGGTGGTGATGAAATAAAAAATCCAAAGGAATTTCACTGGCTCTTTATGCCTTGAAGCAACCATCTGCACTGCATCATCATCCATCTGCCTCTGAACAGGACCTGCCTATTAACGGCTCTAGGCCAGGCTTCTCACCAGGGCAAATAGTTACACAAGAACCCATACTGAGATCTGGGACCAGGAGAAAAACAGCAAAGGGAAGGGGAGGAAACCCAAACAAACCAGGTGGAAGAACAGGCCCTAGAAACCACACCAAGTCTGAGAGTGGGAAGATGACTACAGCATAACAGAGGAGACATTACAACCAACTGGCAAGTAGTTTTAGTTGGACAAAAACACTCAAGGGATATGCAGAACAGGACAGAAAGATTTCAGAACACTCACTGATTATCTAACAATGCTGCTACAATAGATTATTATAAAAAATATATAAATTATGTTTTTATTATAATGACAAAGTATATATCATTAGCAAAATACAAAGATAAAAGGTGACATTAAAATTACATAGGATATCACAACTTCCTCAGAAAGCTTTTAGATCCTTACATTCCTTAAAGATTAGAAGTCAACTGCTGTATTTTTAAACTGCATTAAAAAAAAAATATCTCAAACAGATGCTTAATTCAAGAATGAACACATCTGAATCAGAGTGGCCTAAGATGCATGAAGCCAACATCACAACTGATTTAATTAAAAGTCTGATGGCATTACAGTGTGCAGGACCAAAATCTACAAAGCGAGGGAATGAACATCCATAAGAAGAATTTCTGTCTTTCAAGTCAACAAGATAAGAAAAATACCTGCTATTTGGGAAGAAAGGGTATAACATGGTTCCTTTCCCTCCAGATGCTAACATACTATTTGAATCATTACTTCATTAAATCACTATCATCTGTCTTCCTGAATGTAGTTTCAGCTTCACATGCATCAGAACAGTGGAAGAAATGCTCACTTCAAAATCCAGGATGTTACATTTCTATTTTCATGGCCAAAATGGAGATGTATTTGAGTCCTGAATATTCTCTCAAAATTATCTGCATGTTTCACAGTACTGAAATCTGTAATTTCACAGTACTAAGCTTAGTTTTCAATAGTCATAGGGAAACAAGCTTGCAGATTTGACAATAAAGCTACATTGCTTTATTTTCAATATTCAATAACTTACTTTACACATATGCTTTCACTTCTGTTTTCAAACAGGTTTGAATGCTGTGTGAACAGTAACACCTGGAATTATAATCTAAAAATGAAGAGATCACCAAAACCAATACATCATTTTCTGTGCTGAGATCTGCCCTATGCTGCAACAGGAACCGTGTGTGTGCATGGTTGTAATGCAGAAGGGATCTAGTCCATGGCTAGAATTTTTACAATTAGTTATATTAGCAGAGGACAAAAATAGTTCTAGTCTCAATAAGATGCAGACATATCAGGGAAGGGGAAGAAACAGAAACAGGTAAAGACAGTAAGAAGCAGTTGACACCCCAGGGATACCAGCACAGACCTGCAATATGATCCTACAATCAACTGATCTAACACCCTGGTACATGGAAATGCCCCATTTCATGGGACTGCTTCACTCATAGTGAGGCTTATCCAATGTTACAGCAAGCTCAAGAGCTCTAAGCAGCTAAGTGGACTTCCATTTCATCATTTTGCTAAAGGCATTTCTGCTTGCAGGAGGTCAGAAGGGAACCAGTGAGTTCCATGCCAGGCCTGTGTGCTCAGGAGTCAGAAGTGGAAGGCACAGCTCTACTGAAACAGTCACAAGTTGGCCAACATTAGCCTCAGAAAATCAGAAGGCTCACCAAAAGCACCTGAATCAGAGCTATGAAGCCTAATTAGCCAACAGAAAGATTTATAAATACAAACATTTAACTTTGGTGTGTATTAGAATACCTGATAGGAGCTACTCCATGGTCATATGACACAAAGGGATCATTTAATGCACTTTTTAAAATTAAGTTACTGTATGGTAACTAACACTCATAATCCCACATATAAACAACCAGAAGGGAGGATCTGAAGACACACGGAGTTGAAAGAAAATTGTGGTTTCTGTTTGTGCTACAGCTGCTGTTAATCTATTTGCAATCAAGCCAATTGCTGTTTTGGTGGCTGTTTGCTTTGTTGGGCAGTGCAGGGAGGGCCAAGAGCTTTTGGGGGTGGGTCAAGGCAGAGGTATGGACTTAAAATTCAAGCAAAACAAACACAAGAGCAGAAGATTTACTTGCTTTTGGCTGTTTGTACTCCTCTGGAAGACAGCCTGAAAAGTTGTTGTCAAGATACATGCTGAGCATTTTGAGAAGAATATTAAGGTATTTAAGAAAAAGCAGTAAACTAGCTTTAAACCTTTATTGCAAAATACAGACAACCAGTGAACATTGTCCTTATTGTTTTGAGGTCACCAAATTGCATTTTGTTACTTCAGGCTTGCCTGAGGTCTCTCCACTAGAATGTCTGAGAATTAAAAAAAAAAACACAACCCCACAGTAATGGTTTTGCAGTATGTATTAGCATCAGAGACATCTGACACACCTCAGCTACCAAATATTCAAAGTTCTGAACTACATGAATCTGTTTGTCCTTCATCCCAGCCTGTATTTTCATCAGCAATTTATAGCTTGCTCCATCCCTTGTCCTCTAGTTTCAAAAGGAAATACATACAGAAGATACAATTCTAAGCAAATTGAATGACAATTTGTGATCTGTTAGTACATTACTGACCTCTTTCCTGGAAAGAAAATGAATTTATAATCAAGATTTGTACATACCTTGCTCATTTGACCACTGTCTTACTAGGATATTCTCCCCACATTACATTCAGTCAACATTCAAAACATTATAAAATATATCCCTTACTAGTTTGTCTTTGATACAGCAAGAGAACTATTTTAAGGCTACTCTTGGCTTTTAAAACTACTAAACACTCCCACATATTTCACAGCTAGGATATTTTATTTTTTAAAAAACTATTGAATGGCAATAAGAACAAAAGAACTTCCAGGTCAGTAAATTTCCTTCTCAGTTAAGGCATTTTCCCTGTTAATATGGCTATTAAGTATTTGTCAAGAACTTGGAACACTTTGACAAATCTGCAGAAACAAACAACACACCCTTTAAAAGCACCTTGGATAATCAGGAAAATAATATAAGTAAACACAGAAGTTCCTGGAAAGGGCAGGGGTGGAGAAGTATAGCACACACCAAAAGCATTCTTTCTACATAGAAATAGTCACATACAGTAGAAAGAAGCATCATCACCTTGGTCAGCAAATGAGAGGGCTTTCCTGCAATGTTTCTCAGAAGAAGGGAGGTTTCCCTGTCCAAATAGGAGTGCTTGTGCAGAAAGAAAGAGAAAGAACATAAGTCAAAGGAAGTCAGTATAGTAATTTTATGGTGTCTTGATTACAGAAGACAAAGCAGAGTTTTAAAGAAAAAACCCCTACATCATCACTTTTTTCCCCTCCCATAAAAACATGAACATTCCCAAATAAGATGAGCCTGATACACTGATGTAAAAGCAATTGTGCTAAGAGAAGACACTATTTTAATCTTCTCCCGTACAAAATGTCACACAATAGAATTAAGAAAACTTTTTCTTACCTGCCACTGGTTTCTTTTCTGCAAGAAAAAAATTATTTGTAAAGACATTTAGAGCTGTGAAAGAAAATACACTCTTAAAATATTTTTCAAAATCCTGTCCAGTCTTCTATAACTAAACATTGTACTTCCACTACACAAACACAGAGGCACTATAAACTGGTCATGTGGGAGACATTCTGGTTTTATGCTTTCTACACAGGTTGCTGCTTCAGTCTTAAAGAAGGAAGATATTACCACAACAATAAACCAACCTGACTTAAAATTCATGGTTGTTTTTTTTTTTTAAAGGACTTAAGTCTCTCTTCTCTTGTATAGTACAAAGTGTAAAATTACAAATCCCTGTGGCTTCTCTTGGGAAGATAAATTTGCAGAAAGTAAATTTTCATCTGTTTTCAAAATGGGAAGCAAAATCAGTAGAGGGGCAGCAACCAGTCAAGAAAGACAGAAATCAATTAATGACAGACCCCAGAGTGATGATCTTCTCCAGCACCTGCTACAGGCAATAAAACCATCATCATGCAGTGGTTTGCAGAACCACACAGTCCAGTCTGCTACAGAAATTAGACTAGTACTGTGGTACTTAACAAGAGCATTAAAACAACTTACAAGAGCATGAAGTAAATCTCCTGTGCACCACTACCATACCACAACTTTTGTTCCATGTGGTTACAATTGTCTCAGTCTTAATTGTTTAATTTGTTTCAGTGCTATACAGAACAAGGCATAACAACTATACATGCCTATTATATTTTTGTTTAGTAATTAGCAATACAGAATCCCACTTCTTCAGTGCCACGATAAGGTATAGTCTGAAAAAAATGAAGAGCCTATGTCTACAACTTCATGCAAGGCAGTCTCAAATAGCTTGGAGAATACAGTTTCTCCTGCAGGGAGTTTATCGATGTGACTGCCACATGCTGGGACGAGCAATTAAGGATCTCAAGGAGGCTTTAAAAGGTACACCTCAGGAAAGACTCTTCACAGCATTTGAAGTTAAACCCAGGCTCCAGCCAAAGTTCCACCTGGATATTTAGCCATTAATATAGACACAGTTTATGTTACAGAGTAAATGAAGATTTTTCTCCTTGCATATTAATTAGTCTGTATTTACATCATATGTCTTAGATGCATAGCAGTGCTGCCTAGCTCAAGCCACACTGCTGAGGGTTCATAAAACCCCAAATTTAAAAATTTAAAAATTATTTACCTTCACACTGAATTTGCTGTAACTTCCCACAGAGTCAGTTTAGGATAGCTTCATTACAACATATTGCTACACAACTTGCAGAATAAAATGATTGGCTCAATCCAAACTCCAAAAGTATACATAAAAATCCAGTTTTTATGGATTTGTCAAGTTCAAAGAAATTCTTTTAAGAGTTTCTTCATAGAATTCTTGTTAGCCATCATGGACTCTGATTAATATGCATCACTTCCTTGGTTAATGGAGCAATGCAGTAAAAGGAACATTACAATGTATGCTTGCAGCCTTTTCCTTAGAGTTTAGTCACCTTCTGTCTTAGCCTGTAAGTCAGCAATAATGTCAGGATCAAGAAAGGATATGGAATCTCTCCTTAAAGGAAATACTATTTGCTGGAGAATTTCTCCTACAGGGAAGGTCAAGGTAGGCTAATTAACCTTCGTCCTATCTTGATCATCTTGGCTGCTGCTATCTTGCATTTAAATACATTTTCTCCACTAAGGAACTTCTATCCAAAAATGGGAATGCCATATCCTTCTCACAACATAATAGCCACTTGAAACTTTGATAATGATATTTTACAGGAATAGGGGTTGGCCAGTAAAACATGAACACCAGTGTAATGACAACTACCTATGTGAATTGGAGCCACAGAGATAACATGCCTAGAAACAGGAAGACAACAGCTCTTTTCTAGACACTTTTTTGTGCATGGCTTTTTCCTACCCTATAACAAAGTCTGCAGTACTGCACATACCCAAAAGTTAGGAATAAGTGGCAGTAGCAAAGCAACAGGAAAGCCCTAGTTCTAGAAATGATAGCTCAGCTAAACAGTAACTACAGGCACATAGACGTTTTTAAATATGTGGCATTCACAAACCAGTAGGTAAATTAAATTTCATTTTAGAACAACATGTTACTTTCACAATCTAGTTTTAAAGCATTTAGTCTATTTCAAAGAAAGACAAAAGTTCATACATCAAGCTTTGAGGTAAACAGATGTTGCTCCTAGAATATTCCATTGTTCAGGGGAAGATAAATATTTTATTATTTTTCTCTAGACAGTATAATCACAATGGCCCACTCAGAGGATCTAAATAGCCCACTCTTCCTCCTAAGGATTTCAAATACATATCACAGCTCTGACAATATAAATGCCTGATCTTGCCAAACAAATTAACCTACTTTTCTGCTCCAAGTACTTCACTAGACTAAAAAGAACAGCAATGACATTCAGGAAAACCAAAACATGAATTACTCCTAGGGACACATTTCTAGTCTTCCACCATGAAAAGCAACTATTCTTCTACCTGCTCCCATCACAACAATGAGAATTCAAGCTCTGGCAAAGTCATCCCCCTGTGCCTCACCTTAGATTCATCTAGGATATAAAACCAATTCCAGTTCTATAAACTAGTATGTGTCCCTCCCACTACTGCAACACCATGCATTTTTCTATCCTGCTGCAGTAAGCTGACTGCTTCCCCAGTACAAGGCCATAATTTCTTGTAAAGAATTCTTATTTTCAAATTGTCACATAACCAGAATTAAATGTGGTTGGAAGGTAAAAGTAGACTAAAACACAATGGAAGTATCAAAACTGACAACAGCTTTAGAGAAGACGAAACCATACAGCCCTTTATACTAAGCATGGAATTGCAGAAGAAGCAGATTGTAACAGTGATGGAAGAGTACTTCATTCCTGCAGTCACTAAAATACTCAGGGCAGCTAATTCAACATCAATAATACAAAGTCAAAAGAACTGATGCCAAATTTACCAAAAGCTTTGAAATATCATGTATGTCTAGGTCAGCACTCAGAAGGGCAAGGAAAAAGAGTATACAACACGTGCACAGTCTAAAGCTACCTACAATTCTTTACTTCTACTAGGTGTTGGGGTTTTTTAAGTTGTATTTTTTATGTGTAGTACATCTTTCTTAAAATCCAGCCATTAGTAACAGCCATACCTTGTTATAAGTTTTAGTATAAAATTATTACTGCAAATGCAGTAAAAATGAAAGAGCTTGTTAAAGTTATTTCCATTACATGTATAAAAAAACATTCACTTAACAGACACTAGCAGATGTTAAAATCATCTACTAAAAGGGCATCTATCTGTCACTAGAAGAATTTTAAAACCAACACTTATACTTTAATATTTTAAATTATTATTAGGGAGCCAGACACCACCCAGGATTCCCAGTTAATCCAGCATCACTACTACTCAGGCAGAGCTCAAAATACCATAGGACCAGTGAGCATCCAGGAAGGGAAAAGTGACAGGGATTAAGAAGACTCTTAAGAGGCAACGTGACATTTCATTTTGTCACGTGGAATCTGTCAATACAAATTGTCCTACAAGGCTTCACACCAGGAAGCTGTGACAGGCAGTAACACTGTAGCCCAAAACTCAGTTTGTTTCTTTATATACTCTCCCAAAAGTCCTCTTCTTTCCCTAAAACAAGCAAAGATGAAGCCTACCATGAGATACCAAATATGTTTACAACTTTCCTATGCTAAAATCACTTCTTTTGAGACAACTTTAACACAATACATAGGAAGTTATTCACTTCTGGTATAGTCCATCCTCTTAATATGAAACAGATTTCAAATTAAGTTGCAGGAACTCAACCTAGCTTAAAAACTTGAACAGTGAAAAATAATGAAAGAAAACTTATCAAAGCCAGGAAAAAACATTTTCTACCATATAGAAGCAGCAAATGATGACTGTTTTGAACTGTGTCATATTTTAGCTTCTAGTAGCAATTATTCCAAGCCACATTGAAAACCATGGTTGTTTAATAATAAAAAAATCCTCAAAACCCTAAAAGAGATCTGCCCATTGGAAAACTTTCTATAAAATTAAATGTATACCTTTCTCAAGGGATGTCAAAAAAGCCGTGCACAAAAATATTTTGTGCAAGAACAATTTTACTTAGGAAAATTCAGATACGATGATTAAAATACCTGAGGTAAGAAAACCAAATAAGTAAGGCTACTAATGTCTCTGTAACAAACTTTAGCTGCTAAGGATAATCAACAACATAGAAAACCAGATTTGAGTACAATTAGCATTAACACTTAGTTCTAGACACTGTTAGGTCAAAAAAATTAATAGTGTTCATGTCTAGTTCATTCAGCAAAGACAGCTAGACTTGATGTTTATAAGTGCATGGACTAAAGTCTTGTTCCAAATTATGTTTTGGACATCAAAGATTTCCTATATCCTTTCTTTGAAGACAGAAATGTAACATCCACTACTTTCAGATCTAAAGACCAGACATTCATGGATCAGCTGTTGGAAATAGCATGTCAGTGTTTTCAGAAATCTCAACACAGTACTTAAATACACAGCAGCTACTTACATCAGAAAGTTTTTTCAATACTGAAATATTTTTATACTCATCACCAATCCTATACCTACAAAGCGTGCCTGCTAAACATGATAGAACAGACAGGCTACCAGGAAAATGAAAATACCTTTCAGATTTCCAGAATGTAATTTGATTTCTAAACTATCACTGAATTACTATGCATATTAGATTTATTTTTTACAGACAGTTATTTTTTATCAGTTATCAGTTCTAATAACTGATGGCTGGATTTTAAGAAAAGCATTTAAGAAGTGGTGATAAACTGAGCTGCCTAGCAAGGATTTGAAGCATGAAGGCCATGTAGCCCATCTTGCCATAGTAGCAGCCACTGGTTCACAATTCAGATGCTGTATTATACATAGCCTCTTTTCTTCAATTCTACTTGCATATTTTTGCAAAATCTGAACATTGATCTATTTTCTTATTATGTTTGATTATCACT